TGCACACCTCTCCTGATTTTAAACCACGCAGTATCCTCTTGTTTTGTTTGAACAACTGCCCCTTGGTCTATTTACAGGTCTGCATGAGCACAATTAGCCAAACCAAACCCAAACCCATTGCCCTTGTGATCATTCTAACTCATAGCAATCTGCTAGGACAAAGTAGAACCCCCATAGGGTTTCCACGACTTTAAATCTTTATAGAAGCAGACTGTCTTATTTTGCTCCTGCAAAGCAGCTGGTGGGTTTGAACCACCAACCTTTTGTTCAGCAGCCTAATGCCTTAATCACTGTGCCACCAGAGCTCCTTGAGCACAATGAAGTGTTCTGGAATTCTCATTCTTTGCAATGTTATTCATAATTTGTTATGATCCGCACAGTTCAGTGCCTTTGCACAGTCAATAAAACACAGGTAAACATTTTTCTGTATTCTCTGCTCTCAGCAAAGATCCATCTGATATCAACAATGATATCCTGAGTTCCACATCCTCTTCTGAATCTGCCTTAAATTCCTGGTAGTTCCCTGTCGATGTACTGCTACAGTCGTTTTAGTATTTTACTTGCCTGTGATATTAATGATACTGTTAGATAATTTCCACATTCTGTTGGAATACCTTTCTTTGGAATGGGCAGGAACATGGATTTTTCCCAGTCAGCTGAAATACCTATGAGCTATCCAACTGGAGGTGATTGTTGTTAGCTGCTGTGGAGTCACCAACCTAAGTACAACAGAACCACCAGTCCTGCCCTACATAGGCTGACTGTTGCAGTCACCATGTCAATCCATCTCCAGGATCTTTTTTGCTCACCTTCCACCTTACTGAGTATGATGTCCTTCTCTGGAGACAGGTCCCTTCTAGTAACATGTCCAAAGTACATGAGTCAAAGTCTCACCATTTTTGCTTCTAGAAGCATTCTGGCTGTACAGTAGTAGTTATATGGGTCTAGGGCTCAGAAGAAAGAGGTAAGGTGGAGAAATAAATTCGGGAGAATGCATGAAGGTATACCTGACTAACATGGGGTTGGAAGACTAGCCTGAGGAAAGAAGACAGGTGTGATACCAAAAGTGTGACATTATGGAAACCAGGGGAATTTAATATTTGAAGAAAGCTCTTCCTATCATTCCCAGATCAAATCCTGCTCCAACACCTTAAAAGATACCAAATAATCCCTCGTTCTAAAATGCATTCACTCTGAGTAAGCGAAGAGAGCGCGTATCCAAAGGTACCCTAGTCAGTGAGGTGCAGGGCCGAGTCCTGTGCCTCCTGCTCTAGGCGAGACCAAGGAACCGCGCTGAAATAGATTCGACTCTTGATTCCGCAGCGGCGCGGCGCCCCAGGAAGCTCCGGTCGAGGAGACGACCACCTTAACCATGGCACGTGCAGCTGTCACCCGTGGGGAACCGCAAGTCAAGCTCCTTTCAGGGTCTACAGAACTGTAATCGCTGCGCCTACCGAAGTTCGAGGGTGAAACGTGTGGGTGGATGGTGAGCAAAGGCACTTACCATGTCCGCTGACGTCGACCACCAGTTCCAGACACCAGTCCGGAAACAGCGTAGTCGCGAGCCTGGAGGGCTGGGCCGAGAGGAGGAACCTGAGAGGGCCGCCTACATCTCCCGACATGCTCTGCAGGTACATCATGGGGCATACCATATTTCGTCTCTTTGCCGATAGATAGAGGGGCATGTATCTGGAGACTGATTGTCGATATACTTTATTGTTTCAGTTATTCCTGCCCTACAGATGCTTGAGAGACCTTCTGTGTGTCCTTGGACTTGACTTGAACTCTTCAAGTGTCCTCCTGCAGTGTTCTCGGAGTGGATTCTCCCGCATCCTGGGCAACGCTTCTCAACAAACGCCGGCTGTGCACAGAACGTGCCAAGGGTCTTTGGAGCCTGGGCCTAAGGAAGGGCGCGCTCGCGCGAGAGTGACCTGCCGCTCTCGTCGCTCTTGCAGGTGGAATTGCACTGGAGTTGAGGCGATCTGATCTCGTTTGTCCTATCGAGTGAGAGTCGGAGAGGTGAATGGGTTCTTGTGCCTGCTAGGTGTTGCTTCTTAGAAAAATGCGTCTCTGAGCCTCCTTTTCCCTAAGGGGAAATAATTTTCCTCTTCACTTTAGCCAGAAGTGCTCTGCCTCTCACAGCACTTTATCCATACCTTTCGAAGAAGACTTACCTGTTTAATTTATTTTCTTGTCGCTCTGAGTCAAAATAGGACAGCACCTAACAACAATAACTAGGTTGTGAGTTTGCTGGGGGCAGGATCTGTGCCTTTTAAAAAATCTGCCTTCCTAGCATCTATCGAAGGAGCTCTGGTAGCATAGTGCCTAAGGCACTTGACTGCTAACCAGAAGGCTGGCGGTTCAAACCTACCAGCCACTCCTCGGAAGGAAGGTTGGGCAATCTACTTCCGTAGTGATACCGCCTTGGAAACCCAAGGACGGGTCGCTATGAGTCGGTTTAGGCTCCACGGCACATAACAACAACAACAGCTTCTATCAGTGGGTCTTACTCGTAGGAGAGGTTTGCAAATTATGTGTTAAATAAAAGAGTGACTGATTTTGTAAATGTTCAAGAAAAGTTAAGTAATGGAAAAGTTCAAGGCAAGAACTTCTTTCGTTTCCTCTCGCCTTCTGTGGTTCGCTTAATTGCGTGCCATGATGCTGAGTATACACCGGGACACCATGGTGAAAAAGAACCAAACTCAGATCACCGTTCCTGCCTTCATGGAGCCAATACTTTAATGGGGAAAAACAAATGTCAAGCAAAGGTTTCCTAAAGGATGAATGTAAAATGTTGACCCATTAAATAACTGTTGAGGACTTGGAAGAAATACATGCTTTTATGATAAACCAAAAAACCAAACCCATTGCCATCAAGTCCCATGATCCCATAGAACAGAATAGAACTGCCCCATAGGGTCCCCAAGGCTTTAATCTTTAGGGAAACAGAGTGCCACGTATTTCTTGCACAGAACAGCTGGTGGATTCCAACTGCTGACCTTTTAGTTAGGAGTTGACCACTTAACTACTCACTACCAGGGCTCCTCACCAATATGATAAAAGGTAATGAATGTGCTGAGCCATCTGAAGAAGTCTTCTTGTGGGGAGGGAAAGGACGGCCACTGTGGAGTTCCTGACTACAGTAAAACAACATAAGCAATGGACCCATGGCTGGAGAGAGCCTGGCCTGAAACCTGAAAGAAGACAGGTGCCAGGGACGGGATGCTGTGTCAGAAGAACTGACCTTGGAAGCCTTTTAAAGAATTTTAGCCTTCATGAACAAAGAAAGTCTGTTGTTTGGGTGGTGGGAGTGAGGTTGTGAAATAGCACATAAATTGAAGCACTACATCCCCAAAAAGGAGCCCTGTTGGCGCAATCATTAAGCCCTAGTGCTGGGCTGCTAACCAAAAGCTCAGTGGTTCTAAGCCACCAGCCAGCTCTGGAAGACTTGGCAATCTGCCTGCATAAAGATTATAGCCTGAAAAACAAAACAAAACCAAAAAAACAACAACCCAGTTGGACAGTTCTGCTCAGTCCTGTAAGGTGGCTGTGAGTTTGAATTGATTCAGTACATAACATCCCAACAGAACAAGCCCTTCGATATGGGGACTCAATCTTTACTAACATTTAAATTTAAAACTTACCTGGGCAGAGGAAGATGGGATGAGGAAAGTGTTCTTTTTTTCTTATGCTTTAGATTAAATGGAATCTTCACTTGCTCCTTTGATGTTAAACATTAGCAGTGATTCATGCTCAAATAAGCCGCAGCTCCAAATAAGAAAGGATGTTTGCTCTAAATTCAAGACAAAAGGTTTTTTCCAAGCCACTGGATTATAAACTTGGAGGCATAAATCAATGTCTGTCTTATTCACTAATGTACGCCCAGTGCCTACCTCATGGTTGATGCCTAAAAACATTTGAGTGAGAATGAAATATATTAATATTTTTAGCTCCTTGGTTTTAGTTTTTAGAATATATCTAATTTTTAGAACAAGTTTCTAAATAAATAGTTGCATGTTAATGTGATATTTCACCTTTGTAGTACATTTTCAACGAAAATTCACAGTTGTAGTCTGCTGTTTAACAAATACTCTGAATTCATTGTGGAATTTTTTTGGTTTGTTGTTCTTGCTGTTATCTTGCTCAAACTATTGTCCTCTCTCTCCATCCCCTTAATGAATTAATTTTGCCGGTGGTATATTTCTTATGTTCACTTAAACTTGGAAAAGCTCAGGAACTGTAGGGCAGTATCTGTATGTGTTAATGCATTCTGAAAAGCTAAATTTGAATTAAATGATTTTCAATATGAGGGACAATGTGGTATCCTTCATTTATTTAAATCATTTTATCGAAATTGGAAAATTGTCTGATTTATGTAATCTGGATTTTGAAATCTGTCTTGACTTTCTCAAAAGAGAGATGTTTGTTTACACAGTATTTATACCACGATATTTGATATTTATACCATAATATTATAATTTCTTACAGATGAATGGCATTGCATCAGACACTTCTTTGTAATTTGTGAGCACGTTATCCTTGCTCTGGTGGCACAGTGGTTAAGGCATTTGACTGCTAACCAAAACATCAGTGGTTTAAATCCAAGAGCTGCTCCATGGGAGAAAGATGAGATAGTTGGCTTCTGCAAAGATTTACAGCCTTGGAAACCCTGTGGGGCAGTTCTGCTCTGTCCTATAGGCTCACTATGAATTGAAATTGACTCAATGGCAGTGGTTTATATAGTCAAGGGGAGGGTTCATGGTGATAATTTTGAATTTCATTGTTCTCCGCCGGCCCCACAGAGTAGATTGTTTTCCCACATAGTTTGGGTCGATTATTTTATAGTGATCATGACAACTCTCAAACTGAAAAGTAATTTTGATTAAAATATACTCACTTTTTTCTTAAACCTTTTCCCTCTGCACTTTTCAATGTGAGCTAAGATTTTGCCATAAAAGCAGTAGCCCGAAGGAGCTTCTGAAGTTACCAGTATAGAGAAGACCACCATAAGAAGCAACCATGCCTATAGAAGGAGGGAAATCTGATATGGATAGGATTGGCCTTTTCAGTGAAATGGAATATATCACTGTTGGTGATAAATATGTTCCACCATTTAATCGTAAGTATATTTGATTTCCATTACAGCCAAATGGATGGATATTTTCTATAAGAAATTTTGTATTTAATATTTAAGTTAAATGATATTTTTTAATGGTCTATATTTTAAAGCATTAGTTCTAAGATTGATTAAATTTGTGAAATTTGCTAGATTAGAGTTAAGAGAAAACTTCATTTTATAAGAGCAGAAAACTCATTTTATTGAGCTGCTCTTTTGCATTGTTCCTAGGTGATTTTCCTTCTTTCCAAAGGTAAATGGCAATTTTCTCCCAGAATATTTTGTTTTCAGCTTTTTTTTTTTTTTTTTTTTTTCTTCATAGGTGGGACATTCCTTGTTGCAAACATTTACATTTGCATCCAAGAAGGCCATCCATTTTCACTTTCCTAGAAAATGAAGTGTTCAGTAAATAGCACAGGGATTCTTAGAAAGGCCATTAAAAAAAAAAAAAAACAGGGCTAAAGTAAATAACATTTTAAATGTCTCAGCTTTTTGGCTATCCAATGACTACTATGTAACAATAAAAAAAGAATACAGGTATGGGAATGTGTCCGAGATATATGGTTAAATAAAGCAAGATGCACAGTAGTCTGTATAATAGACTATCATTAAAAATGAAAAAGGATGCATAAGAAAATATTTGCTTCAATATGCCTAAGTATTCGCTGGCAAACAAAATTATGGTCACTGATTGCCTGGGGAAAGAGCAATTGAGTGGCTGGGTGTGGCAGGAAGATTTATTGTAAAAATGTTTACATTTTTTAATTTTGAACTAAGTGAATGCATTGCCTTTTCAAAATTTTAAGTTTTTTAAAAAAATCAGTGATAGAAATTTGCATTTAAATAACCAGTTGAATCAAGAGATGTCTGAAATTCATTTTTCACATTACTGAAGGACTTCCCAAATTAAGCTCTTCTAGATCCAAATTTAAAAGAAGTTTTAAATATTTATGAAAACAGCCCTAAGTTACTGGAGTACTGGTATTTCATCGTGTAAAGCCACCACTATTTATTTATCTGTTTTCTGTTGAACGTTTAGATTATTTCTTGTTTTTGACTATTATGAATGAAGCTGCTATGACCACTTTTATTCATGACTTTTAGTGGACTTTTTTTTATGCACTCATTTATCTTGAATATGTCTGGAAGAGAACTTCTTCCATTTGAACATGGTGCACCCTTCCGTTCAACAGGTGTGTGTGTGTGCACACACATGACATCTCACACAATGTTTCCTGGTATATAGTATATACATGATGATTAGATGATCTTTAAGGTGTCTTCCAGCCCTAAAATTTAGCCTGTAACCAGGACCTTAATATAAATGTTAAAATGTTTTAATGAAAACCTCTTTGGTCTTATTGCCAATATATTCTAATGCAGAGCTTTCAATCAACATTTCAAAACAGTGTTCTATTGCTCAAAACTCATAATTGGCCCAATTTACATTTTGAAACTTCTAAATTATTTTTCACGTCCTTTACTTATGAGTAAGCTTGAAATTATGATATTCCTAATTTACTTTTAAAGGACCCTTTAATGAGGCTGCAAGCAAAAATAGACAGATGCTACCTGGGGGATCCAAACAAATGTCAGATCTCCAGCAGGGTTACTTTGATCCCCATTTTGTAAGGATTTTTGAAGGTGAAGGCTACATAAATCTGAATCAAGTGAGACGTCGTCATATGATGGAAGAAGCCAAAAGAAATCTAGGCAAGCCCTTCCTCCCTAGTAATGGAGATAAAAAGCCGTAAGTGTTGGGAGAAAAAAAATTCTTTAAACGGATTTCCTATACCCTTCCCTCGTCTAGCCTAAATTAAATATTTTTCTATTGGGCTTACTTATTTAAGATTCATTTTTAAGTATGAGTCTTAGAATAGTTTGTCTTAAGTGAAGATAGTTATATTGGATAATTTAAATTGAGATAATTTTGGTTAAGCAGGTTGTCATTATCACATTAGATTTTGAATTATTTATTTCATTGTTCTTTATTAGTTTATGTAATTAAAGCCAATTAATAATGAAAATAAGTATGTTCAAAAATCTTGCTAAAGTCACATAATTCACTGCCATCGAGTTGGATCCAACTCATAGTGATCCCTCCTTGGGTTTCCGAGGCAGTATCACTGCGGAAGTAGATTGCCCAGTTTTCCTTCCGAGGAGTGGCTGGTGGGTTTGAACTGCCAGCCTTCTGTTTAGCAGTCAAATGGCTTAGGCGCTACACCATCAGAGCTCCTGCTAAAGTCAGGTTGGAGAAAAAAATCACCTTCAGTAACATAGCTGTGCCCTTGACTATTTTTCATCTTTTTTTTTTCAAACTTTTAAAAAGTATAAATAGAAAATGTGAAATTAAGTGAAGCCTTTTTTTTTTTGATAAGTAAAATAATTTATCAAAGATAATTATATTGAGGGTTACTGCAAGATGGCAGCATGAGCAGCTGTGTGCTCATGTCCCCCACAAAAACAGCAAAAGACAAAACAGGCAAACAAAAACACCAAGCAGAAACTGGCAGAACCAAAGTTTTCAGAGTTTAGGTAATTAGTCAAGGAAGTACAGCAGCTAAGCAAATGTTGAGTTAAGAAAATGACCACTTCTGCAAGATAGGAAAGCTTGCTTTGGTTTTCTACTTGACTTCATTTCATCCCCTCTCTGGCTTGCTATGGCTATTTTAAAGCGGTGGCAACTTTAAACTCCCAGAGAGGGAGCCTGTTTCTGGCTCAGGAAAGAGCAGAGTGGACTTGATTCACAAGTCATTGTGTGTGTCTGTTCTAATTTGCCCTGAGGATGCTGAAGGAGAGAAGGTGGTGCTTATCTCAGTTTGGCCTGTGTTGGAGTTCACTCAGAGCAGAATGGCAAGAGTACTGCCTGAAGACTAAATCACCTGCAGCTTCCTGTGCTAAAGAATGCAATTAAGCATACAATAGGTGAATTGAGGAAAATATTTAAGCCTCGAGTTACAATATTGAAAGATTCTATGGGCAAAATATTGAATGATGCAGGAAACATCAAAAGAAGATGGAAGGAATACACAGAGTCACTGTGTCAACCAAAAAGAACTGGTTGATGTTCATCCATTTCAGGAGATGGCATATGATCAAGAACCAATGATATTGAAGGAAGAAGTTGAAGCTGCACTGAAGGAATTGGTTAAGAACAAGGCTCCAGGAATTGATGGAATACCCACTGAGATGTTTCAACAAAAAGATGTCCCTGGAGGCACTCAGTTGGTTATTCCAAGAGATTTGGAAGACAGCTACCTGGCCAACTGACTGGAAGACATCCATATTTGTACTCATTCTAAAGAAAGGTGATCCCACGGAATGTGGAAATTATTGAACAATGTCATTAATGTTGCATGCAAGTAAAATCTTACTGAAGATAATTCAAAAGTGGTTGCAGCAGTAAATTGACATAGAACTTCCAGAACTGCAGTCTGGATTCAGAAGAGGACGTGGAACAAAGGATGTCATTGCTGATGTCAGATGGGTCTTGGCTCAAAGCAAAGAATACCAGAATGATGTTTACTTGTGTTTTATTGACTATGCAAAAACATTTGATTTTGTGGATTATAACAAATTGAGAAGAATGGGAATTCCAGAACACTTAATTGTACTCATGAGGAACCTGTACATAGACCAGGAGGCTGTCATTGGAACAGAGCAAGGGTACCCTGCATGGTTTAAAATCAAGAAGGGAGTGCATCAGGGTTGTATCCTTTCACCATATTTATTCAATCTATATGCTGATCAAATAATCCAAGAAGCAGGACTATATGAAAAAGAAGGGGGCATCAGGATTGGAGGAAGAATCATTAACAACCTGTGATACGCTGATGACACAACTTTGCTAAAAGTGAGGATGACTTGAAGTACTTACTGATGAAGATTGAAGACTACTGTCTGTAGTATGGGTTACATCTCAATAGAAAGAAAACAAAGATTCTCATAGCTGGACCTATAAGCAGCATCACAATAAATGGAGAAAAGATTGAAGTTGTCAAAGAGTTCACATTGGTTGATTCTACAGTTGATGCCAATGGAAGCAGCAGTCAGGACATCAGATGACGTATAGCACTGGGAAAGTGGGCTGCAAGGGACCTCTTTCAAGTGCTGAGGAGCAAAGATGTCTCCTTGAAGACTAAGGTGCACCTAAGCCAAGGCATGGTATTTTCAATCACTTCATATGCATGTGAAAGCTGGACAATGAATAAAGAAGACCGAAGAAGAATTGTTGCTTTTGAGATGTGGTGCTGGTGAAGAATGCTGGAAGTACCATAGACTGCTAAAAGAACTAACAAATCAATTCTTGAGGAAGTGAAGCTGGAATGCTTCCTGGAAGTGGGAATGACCAGACTTCATCTCACCTACTTTGGTCATGTTGGAAGGAACCATTCCCTGGAGAAGGATGTCATGCTTTGTAAGGTGGAGGGTTGATGAAGGAGGGGAAGGCCCTCAACAAGATGGATTGACACAGTGGCTGTGGCGATGGGGTCAAGTATACCAGGGATCATGGAGCTGGTGTGAGACCCAGTGATGTTTCGTTCTGTTGTGCATAGGGTCGCTATGAGTTGGAGGTGACTCAGCAGCACCTAACAACAACAACAACAATAGGTGCTTAAAGACTTACTTTGGTCATGTTGTCAGAAGGGCCCATTCCCTGGAGAAGGATATCATGCTTGGTAAAGTGGAGGGTCAGTGAAAGAGGGGAAGGGCCTCAATATGATGGATTGACATAGCAGCTACAACAGTGGGCTCAGGTATAGCAGGGATTGTAAGGCTGGCACAGGACCAGGCAGTGTTTTGTTCTGATGTACATAGGGTTGCTATGAGTCAGAACCCACTCAATGGCACCTAATAGCAACAATGAAGATAGAACTTACACCTGATAGCGACTCATAGTGACTGTAGAGGACAGAGTAGAACTGCCCCATAGGGCTTCCTAGGCTATAAATCTTTACTGAAGCAGATGACCTCATTTCTCTCCCAGGGAATAGCTGGTGGGATCAAACTACTGATGCTTTGCTTAGCAGCCAAATGTGTTAACCACTACAATACTAGAGCTCCCTATATTAAGTCTTGCTATGAGTCAGCATTGACTTGATGATATTGGGTTTTAAAGACTGGAAGACGAATCCAGGAAGAGTTTCTTTTAACAATTAGGACTATCAAAGTCACTGTGTATGTGGGGAAATTGAGAAAGTTACATGGATACCCATGGCATAGTACATGCTCAGAAAATACTTGAGGAGAGCCTACACTTTCTATGCTCAGTACTGCCTGGCTAAGTCAGTGAAGGAGGGCCCTAGCCCCTGGCACAATGCCTAAGGCACTTGACTGCTAACCAGAAGGCTGCTGGTTCAAACCCATGAGCCAGTCTTTGGAAGGAAGGTTGGGCAATCTACTTCCATAGTGATACCACCTCGGAAACCCAAGGAGGGGTTGCTATAATTTGGGTCCAACTTGACAGCACATAACAACAACAACAACCCCCCTGGTGTTCAAGGAAATTTCTGTCTAAACACTAGTGAACACAAGCTAAGGAGCTTCAATGTCCACACATATCCAGGAAGGCAGTCTTTAGGGGGAAAAAAAAAAAAAATAGGTAAAGTCACTAAACAGACTACTATTGTTGTGTTGTTGTTGTTAGGTGCTGTCTAGCTGGGTCTGACTCATAGCAACCCTATGTGCCACAGAACAAAACACCACCTTGTGCTGTGCCAGCCTCACAATCCTTGCTGTACCTGAGCCCATTGTTGCAGCCCCTGTGTCAATCCATCTCGTTGAGAGCCTTCCCCTTTTTCGTTGACTCTCCACTTTACCAAGCATGATATACATCTTCAGGGAATGGTCCCTTCTGATAATGTGACCAAAGTAGGTCAGAGGAAGTCTGGCCATTCTTGCTTCCAAGGAGCATTCTGGCTACACTTCTTCCAGGACAGATCTGTTGTTTCTTTTGGTGGTCCATGGTACTTTTAGTATTCTTCGCCAGCACCACAACTCAAAAGGATCAACTCTTCTTTGGTCTTCCTTATTCATTGTCCAGCTCTCACGTGCACATGAGGCAATCGAAAATACCATGGCTTGGATTAGGCATAGCTTAGTTTTCAAAGAGACATCTTTACTCTTCAGCATGTTAAAGAGGTCTTTTGCAGCAGATTTGCCTAGTACAATATGTTGTCTTATGTCTTAACTGCTGCTTCCATTGGTGTTGATTGTGGAACCAAGTAATATGAAATCTTTGACAACTTCAATCTTTTCTCCATTTATCATGTTGCTGCTTATTGGTCCAGTTGTGAAGATTTTTGTTTATGTTGAGATGTAATACATACTACAGACTGTAGTCTTTAATCTTCATCAGTAAGTGCTTCAAGTCATTCTCACTTTCAGCAAGCAAAGTTATGTTGTCTGCATATCGCAGGTTGTTAATGATTCTTCCTCCAATCCTGATGCCACTTTCTTCTTCATATAGTCCAAATTCTTGGATTATTTGCTCAGCATACAGATTGAGTAAGTATGGTGAAAGGATATAACCCTGCCACACTCCCTTCCTGATATTAAACCATGCAGTGTTCCCTTGTCCAATTCGAATGACAGCCTCTTGGTCTATGTACAGGTTCCTCATGAGCACAATCAAGTGTTCTGGAATTCCCATTCTTCTCAATGATATCCATAATTTGTTATAATCCACACAATTCAATATTTTTGCATGGTGAATAAAACACAAGTAAACATCTTTCTGGTATTCTTTAT